CCTGGATTCCCTGTGTTTCCAGTTCCTATCTGTACCAGTGCACATCCTCTGGTCTAGCCAGACTTGCAAGGTAGAATTGGGATCATGATAGTGGGGGAGGGGAGGCATTTAGGAACAAGAGGAAAGTTGTATTTTTCATGAGATTGAAGATTTCTTTGTAATGAAATTCTTATATAATCTTCCTGTTCTGCTAAAAGTCACAATCAGTTTAATCTTCCTCCCAAGTTTATAACTATCAAATACTATAGCCATGATTTGAATGCTGGGGTCCTGATCTGAATAGAGATACATGACCTCTTCACCCAAAGATCACCAAATTGTGGGAGTGATTATTAAAAGTCCCTGAGTATAAATAGAAGTGTTAATAAACCATCGGAGTTTCCTGCCTGAATTTTATTCAATTCAAGGCATAGAGAATCAATGAGACACCCAAAACCACTCAGTCTTAAGACTATGACAAATCTCTTAGCAATGATCTGGGACCCCAGCTCCAAGGATAAAACAAATCTGATATGAATCAAAACCTAAAATGAATATTGGACTATGCTTTAAGACCAATCACCAACTGAAGGAGTTAACAAGCTACTTGTCCAATTTCAATTCCCACGGGGAATTCCTTCACTGCATTTCAAACTTCTTTTCATTCTGTCAAAAACCTTGATATCTCCGTTCATCAACGCCTGACCCCTTTACTGACAACCTTCTCTTCCCCTTATCAATTCTCCTAAGGTACACAAAACCTAGTGCTATTATCATTCTTAAATTTGACCCGATTCCTCACACTCGAAACCTGGTTTGCATCAGCATAATCATATGCCTCTAAATCCCAACCGAGGAAATGAATTCCCTAGGCAAATAAACATACAACATCACAGTAAGGCACAGGCCGTCTTCAACAGTGGACATGTGAATGCAAGCCACAAGAATCTCAAAACAGTAAGGTGCTGCTTTTCTGAAACCTCATTGTTCACCACCAGCCTTCCTCACCCCCTCTTACACAACACAATTTAGGGACAAACTTATGTGAAAAAAAGGAGCCTGAAAGAGAACTTACTCAATGTTGTTTCTAACATCTAGTAAGCTACAATGTGATTTCAATCATAAAATAAATACCTTTTCTACTCCTCTGAGAAATTTGTCTGTTCCTGTATAGTTTCTCCTTGGATCTGTTAGCAATTCACATAGTCGTTGAATAGTAAAGGGGATACTGGAAAAGAATATAATTTTACATTTAAGGTCATTAACCAAGAAAGTTAAAAACATTATTACTCTTGCTGTTTATCTAGTCACTGTTCAATTACAAATGAAAACGCCACCATGAGAAATGAATGAATGGGGTCCTTAAACTATGAGCACACCTGTCTTTTTATTTCAAAAGAAAGCTACTTTCTCTTGCCTTTAAAAAAAAAAAAAAGGCAAATAAAAGTTTATTTGAATTAAGTCCTTTATTGGTTGCTCATTGGCAGTTTGAAGCAATTACTCTGCTCCATGAAGTATAGCACCAATAGTGCAAGAATTCAAACATAATTTCTCCAACTTCAATCCCATGTTTTTTCAGTCGTGACAAAATCATAGGCATACATTTCTTAATAAGCCATGTGTTGCACCCCCATGTTCTTATGAAAGTCAGGATTTAAATGTATTTAGAAACCATTTTAAGAGGCATAAAGTAAATGTAATTTATAACAGAACATTAAGACCCGGAAACTTCCTTCTCTCATTTAGTATTCAAAATAACGGCGGAGAAATCTGTTGTTCTTCGGAAAATAGGACCCGAACTAAAAGCAGGTGTCTGGCATCACAAGTAGTTTTAAAACACTCGGAAGAGAGGAGTTAGTAGACGTTGATCGTGACTGTTATAGGACATTCCTTTGAGCTATCCTCTTATCCTTTCTTTTGAAAATATAGTCAGGGTGAAGTCATCTGTCAAAACTAAAAACTTCTAAAATGAAGGGGGGAAAGCAACTAATAGTAGCAACAGTAGTGGTACTAATAGTAAATTCGATTACTAATAATGAAAGCATAAGCATTCACATTTGTATTGTTAATGCTTATAAATATAACACAAAACAGAAAAATCTATAGCTCCATTATTTAAATATATAAAAAGCCCATAATGCCATTTTTTAAATGTTGGAATCATTTACTATAGCACATACTTAATAATATTAGTTTCTTTTCATTTTTTAAAAATCAATTTATTGGGTCTCATAAAATTCATCACAATACATAGATCAATTGTGTAAAGCACATCTATACATTTGTTGCCCTCATCATTCCCAAAATTCGCTTGCCTATTGGGTTAATATTAGTTTCTTAATTGTCTGCCTTTATTCATACTTGACTGAAAGCCCAAGCATAAGCCCTCTTTACACATGTATTTTGTTAATGTTTTCTGTGTGTGTATGTATGAAATGCAGTACACCATCATTGATTTTAGAACATTAGTGGCATGCCTGAAACTTACCTAAAGCACACACTGCAACCTTAAATTATTCCTTCTTTAAATGTCTCGTAAGCACTTCACCCAACCCCTAACAAGCAAGTTCCCATCCAGCCCATTCTGATTCAAGCCTGTGGGCATCAGCGCAAACTTGTGCTGGAGTTTTCAGTGGCTGTTCTTCTTCAGCTCCTCCTTCTGAGGTGTCTCTCGAAAGACGGGAAACACCACTAGTGGATGAACACTGACTTGTTTGTGCCACTCAGGCATTCCATGCTCAGCCTGACACTACATACACCCTTCTACAGTAAACAAGATAGCACTAATGTTCAGGTAATTCAATAATACTAATTTCAGATATTTAAACAAATATTGCCTAATTATTCCTTTTACGTCAGTTAACATTCTGTCCTACCTCAAATCTTTTTCATAAATTAAAATTAGAGTAGTATCTCTAAACTCTCCATTTAACAGCATCTACATCAGCAGTTCTCAACCTGTGGGTCGCGACTCCTTTGGGGGTCAAACAACCCTTTCACAGGGTTCGCCTGATTCATAACAGTAGCAATATTAAAATTACGAAGTTGCGTTGAAAATAATTTTATAGTTGGGGGTTCACCACAACATGAACTATATTAAAGGGTCGCGGCATTAGAACCACTGACCTACACTAAATGTTCTGGCCAATTTTAGTGTGCACAATGGCAATCAGTTATCAATATTGTATATGTTGCTAAACATTCATACTGCTTTTTTGGGGTAGGGAGGACACACAGCAATACTAGCTTGTGGTGGGAATAGGAGTCTGCATTCTGACATTTTCAGAACGTCTTTTCAGATGTCCAATAGATGCCACTAAAATGTTATGTAACACTCCTCACAAAGAAAGGGTAGATTCAAACATTACATGTAAATAAAAGTATCCACGAGAAGCAATGTAATTTTCTTGCAACTGCATTGAAAGTCTGCATGTAAAGATCTCTACATCGTTGGTCTGTCTGATTAGGAGGACTCCTTGCCAACCTGACAGTTGGTCGTCCTGTGGTGCCTTGCATGTTGCTGTGACACTGGAAACTATTCTGCTGATGTTACAAATATGGTAGTCAGGTTTCAGCAGAGCTTCCACACTAACACAGACTAGGAAGAAAGGCTCTATAAATCTACTTCCAAAAATCAGTCAAAGAAAACTCTGTGGGTCATAAAATAATGTCTATAATGTGTGGGAAGTGAGTGCCGCAAGTTGGAAGGCTCTTGAATACACAGTGGTTGACCAGTGCCTGTGAAGACAGTGCTGGACTGGCAATACTTCATTCTGCTTCTGTTGTTGTTGTTGTTGTTGTTAGGTGCCATCGTGTCAGGTCCATCCCATGAGTTGGAGCTAACTGACAGCAAAGAACAACTATCAGAAATAACCTTCACTTGCTCAACAGTTATAGCAGGTTGCATGCAAAGGATTACAATTACAATAATGGATGTGAGTAAAACTGTATACATAGTACTAGGTTGAGTTAAGTAAGCATAAGCCTGGGAACACTTATTTTGAACTAAGGCTTTGAAAGAATGAATTATAAAGCAGATGAATCAATCCAAAATGAATGGATTTAGTCTGACTATAAGAAACATTTGCTAGCTGTTAAATACCTAACACCTAAAAATAGTAATAGAACTTTTCCTAAGAAAAATTACTAGCTAAATTAAGGTATACATGGTTATAAAGAAGTTTATTTAGAACAAGAGAGTAAGAGGGATGGG